CTCATGGATTCTTTGGGTAAGAAATGTTGTTCTTACTCAGCAAACATCTACTACCCTTACTGTGTGCTGGGTGCTGGGGACCCCACAGCAGTTAAGACAAAGTCCTGCTGTGATGGAGCTCAGCGACCCCATCCTGATACCCAGGCTCATATGCCTACAGCCTACCGTGTGCCAGGCACCGCTCATCTAATCTCTATCGTAATCTAATTACCGCTCCATTTGACACTTAGGGCAGTGAAGGCACAGAAGGGTTTGGGACTTGGCCAAAACACACGGCTAGGAAATAGCAGAGGTTGGTTTGAACTCAGGGCACCTGGCTCCAGAGCTCATGCTCTGAATAGCTATTCTCTACGGCCTCTAATAAACTAAAAATGTCATTTGAGATAGTGGTAGGTGCAACATGGAAACTAAAAAGTAGTGGACGAAGGGCATAGGGGTCAGGGAGGATATCCTGAAGTGCTCGCCTTTGAGGGGAGTTCTAGTAACAAGAAGAAGCCAACCACACAAGGGTTGGAGGGAGCAGGATTGCTCAGGGCCAGCAGCAGGGAGGACAGGAGACTGGAGGCGTGTGGTAGCCGGAGCTCCATGGGGGAAGGGCTCCGTGCCCTCACACGTGCACCCCTGAGCCTCAGTTGTCTCCCATAGATGTGTATTTTGTGCTCTGGGGTCCCTGGTCAGCCAGTGGCTGTCTCTCTAGTGGTCATTCAGGATCCAAGGCCCTTCCTTTGTGGCCCCACTGCCTGTGCCCCATGCACCCCTGTGTGGCTATGCTCAGCCTGTTTAAGGGTAGCCCATAGGGGGTGTTCATGGGTGGGACATCGGCACTGAAGCCCTGTTCTGTTGTCCAGACCCCAGCAGAGGAGAAGCAAGAAGCCTGCCAGACTCACACTCACCCGTGGGTGGTGGTGTGTGGATAGAGGGGAATAGACTTGCGAATAGTTTGAAGAAGAATCAAATGGACTTGCTGATGGATGGGATGGAGGAAGACAAGACCCAAGATTAAGTTGGGCATGGAGGCGCACACCTGTAATCTTAGCTACTCGGGAGGCTGAGGCAGGAGGATCACAAGTTTGAGGCCAGTCTGGGCAATTCAGTGAGAACCTGTCTCAAAATAAAGTTAAAAGGGCTGAGGGTGTAGCTCAATGTGAGACCTGGTTTCAATCTCTGGTACCAACAAAAGAAAAGAAAAGAAAAGAAAAGAAAACAATTAGATTGAGGAGGTGAGACCCTGACCCTGCCATGTGGCCAGTGCTAAGGCAGAGTCCTGCTGAGAAGGTCACCTCCGTGCTAGTCCTGTGTTGAGCTTTGGGAAACGACTCCCCTGTTGACCCTGTGGCCCTTGCTCTGTGACTGGCTGGGTCCTCCAGGTGAGCAGTGGATCTGTGCCCTTTGCCCCGACTTCGGGGCTGGCTCTGTGACCTGCTCTGGCCAATAGGACACAGCATGAGGAACCCAGTGCCAGTTCTGAGCTCGGCTTTCAGGAAGCCCAGGGGCATCTTCTGTCTCCTGGGGACCCCTTGGCCTCGGTGGCCAAGCATGGGCTGACCTGCAGGAGGATGTGACTCTAAGAGACTCTCTGGTCCCATCTGAAGTCACTCTTGACAGCCCCGACTGAGCTGGCCCTGAAGAAGGGAGGGTTCTACTGAGATCCGTAGGGCCACCCTCCTGATCCATAGCTGGCCACACGCACATAGAGGAGCCCAGCCCGGAAGCACTAATGCATCCCTGATTCGTGAGCAACCAAGACTATTGTCACACACCAGATACTGATGTTTCTTTTAGCATTGGGCTGCACACATTGTGTGGTTCCATGAATTGTGATGAGCTGAAAATTCCTATCTAGTGTTTTTACTGAGCCTTTTCTATGTTTAGATGCACAAATGCCAGCACGTGACAGCTGTCTACAGCATTCGGTACAGCCAGCTGCTGTCCAGGCTTGCTGCCTAGAAGCAACAGGCGACACTGTCTGGCCTGGGTGTCCTGCACCCTCTAGGGTGTGTAAGTGCACACTGGATGGTTACACAGTGACACATTCCTTAGAATGTGTCCCCATTATTAAGTGACAGGTAACTGTACTCATTGTCTGAAGGTCCTGAGTGCTGGCCGGTTGTTACTCAGTGACAGCTGACTAATACACTCCCCCAAGCAGGCAACAAGCCCAGGTTAAGCCCAGGACAGAGCTTCTGGTTCTTGTCCTTTCATTGCTCTGCCTTTTTCTGGCTGGCCCAGAGCCCTGTCAAGGAGCATGACTGTGATTCCTTAACTAGGGAGAGACTGGATCAGCGCTGTGTGTGGGTGGCTCTGGGTCTCCTCCTCCAAGGACCAAAAGTTTGTCAGGTGGAGAAAAAGAAGGCAAAGGAAACAGCAAAGGCATGAGATGTCCTGGGACACAGGGACCATAGTAATTCTGTGCAGGAGACAATGGGGTGTGATGATGAGAAAACATGGAAATTGCTAGAACCTGTCTGGCACAGAGCACTTTCTTCCTAAAGGGCTTGTCACTGCTGTGTGCACAAGGCTCCCAGCATGGTGGCTGCTAGGTCCAGAGGGGACAAAGAGCTTGGACATGAGGTACAGGATGATGAGGAGTTGTAACACTGGTAGGCAGGGTGTGGGCTGGTCTGGTCAGCTCTTGGAGGCTGGTGGGGCATTCGTGGAGGAAGGGAGACCTGGCAGGAGGTGTGGCACTCTTCCAGGGACAGCCAAGGGCCAGTTGGTCGAAGGCAGGTGGATGGGCAGTGGAGGAACCTGTGGGAAGCCCTCGGGAGGAAGTGCCACAGCAGTGTCCTGCTGAGTGTGCCCAGTGAGGAGGGAGGGAAGAGCTGATGAAGACAGTCTATCTGTCTGAGGAAGCCCTTTCTTCCACCTTTAAGCCTCTGTTTGTGGGTGGAAGGCCCAGGAATAAGGGTAGATTTGGGACACTGAGGGTCACCTAATTCCTCCTTTCTGGGTGGTAAGACATGGTATCTCTGAGCTGGGCTATTACCTGAGAAGTAGGAGCAAGAGGCTGAGGAAACAGATCTTGAGCTCACTGTGCAGTGTGCAGGGGACAGCTCTGCCTCGGGTGGGGGAGCACTGTGCCTCAGCATTTTCTCCTCTCAGGTCTTGCTGAAGGGTTCCCTTGGTAGCTGCCCGTGTATCTGCACCCTCCCCACTTCTCTGTCCACCCACCTGCCCACTCATGCATCCATCCATCTATCTGCTTGTCCATCCATCCATCCATCCATCCATCCATCCATCCATCCATCCACCATCCTTCCGTCTATACTTCCTTCTTTCCTTCCATCTATGTATCCACCCTGTCTGCCCCCTCCCTCCCTGCCTCCTCCTGTCTTTCCATCTCTCCATCTATTTTATCACTCCTTCTATGCTCACTTATCCAGGCATTCAAGGAAAGGCCCATGCTGCAGAATCGTTCAGGGCACCAGTTCATCCCTTCAGGGCCCTTGGGCAAGTCCAGTTGGTTCTCCCTGGAGCCCCTTGCATGCATGCACACACGTGTGTGTGTGTGTGTGTGTGTGTGTGTGTGTAGGAACTATATCCCTTCCAAACTTCCTTCCCCTAAATTATTTCCTGACTTGGTATACTGTGTTGGTGAAAGAGCATCCCCAGGAGCTTGTGCCTGGTCTTCTCTCCGCTGAGCATCCTGTTCACCCCAGAGTAAAGCCCTTCCCCTCTCTGGGCCTCAGTTTCTCCATCTCTAAAACAAGAGATTTAACCCAAGTCCGAGTCTGTAGGCTGTGGCCCGAGGGCCAAGTGCTGTCACAGTCATGTTTGTGTCACCCTTGAGGCGTCTGTCAACATATTGAAAAAGTGGAGATTATCCTGAGAAACCCAAATGTTCAGTCTTTCTTGAAATCTCAGGATTTGGCCACTGTTGTGCCCATATTCCCATGTGGCGACAGTGATCTTGGGTCAAGCAGCTTAGTTCCCGAACCCATTTCCTCCTGACCTCAGGCCTGTGTGCTTTTGACACTGTGGTCCTGGGCTTTCTGACTTGTGATTCTGCCCCTTAAGCTTCTCACCTTTTTCATCCCAGGATTGTTGAAGAGCTAAACCTTTACCCAAAAAAAGCACCCAGTGTTTTTTACCATAAGTGTGTTTGAAGAATCCTATACTCAGGGAGAATAATAGTCATAGCAATAATAATTAATACTAATAGTTAGCATTCATTTATTATTTTACAAGGCCAAATGGTGTGCAGTCATGATTGGGAAGATCCTCACCCATCCCTGTATGGCAGGTATATTATTCTGATTTTACAGAGGGGGAGACTGAGGCACAATTCAGAGCACACTTGGGTTGGGCACTCAGAGAAAGGGCAGCCCCTGGGGTTGCGATATTCCCATGGCTGAAGCCAGATGATAGGCATCTGCCAGAGCCCTTCTTCCACAGGCCCAGACACTCTCTTCTGCCCTGTCCTCACTTGGGCGGTGAAGAACACGAGCATCTTTTCTGAGATCCCATTTATGTAGCTAACCCTGAACAGTCACCTGAAGAGGTTGGCCAGAACCTCCCCCATTCCCAGGAGCCAATGAGACCAGGAGCAAAGGCTTGGAAAAACCCCTGCTCATGGGAGACATTGTGGGTTCTTCAAGGAAGAGAGACGTGACACAGGGGTTTCAAAAAACTCCTGTATGTTTTCTTATCTACTCATTTACTCATCCACCCACCCACCCACTTACATACCCAACCATTAACCACACACCTATCCATCCACCCACCTACTTGTCCACTTTCCAACCATTCACCCATGCACCTACATACCTATCTATCCACCCATCCATCCATCTGCCCATCTACCCATCCATCTATCCATCCATCCATTCAGTCATCTTTCCATCCATTCACATACACATCCATCTACTATCCATCCACATTCATCCACACATCCATCTATCCATCTATCCATCCATTTTTCTATCCATCCACATCCACCCATATATACATCCATCTATCCATCCATCCATCCATCATTCCATCCATCCATCATTCCATCAAGCCCACTCATCCACACATTCACATAAAGGAAATATTAGGAAATAATGCCAACCAGCCACTTTTATTTGCCAATGACCCAGATCCAGTGCTGACATAAGGGTTAAACACAGCCTAGATGCTCAGGGGCTCTTAGCACTCAGGGCTCATGGGGCTGTGGTCTCAGAGGTATCTGAATTTCACAAGTGGTCATGTGAGAGAGTTCAGAGGTGCCATTTCTTGATGGCTGGCCACAATTACCAAAGTCCCGTTGCCTACCTCATGTGCACTCACAGCCCCCCTACTCCCCGCAAGAGATGCTCCTAGGACCAGCAAGTGCTCAGGCACACAGCTCCATGCATGTGACCTGCTGTCCTTTGCAGGGGCACATGGGGAAACACACAGACATGTACACATGCACTCCTGCACAGAGATCCAAACCCACAGATAGGATGGTAGCTGCTGGCACCCACAGCCTCCTGAGGACAGCTTTCCAGGTTGAAAGGCACTGGGTGTGGCCAGGCCAAAGAGGAGAGGCCTGTCCCTCGCCTCTCCCTGCCAGTCCTGCCCACAATAGGACTGCAAGCCCCTGTGCTGCACAGCTTGTGGGCAACTCCCTGCCTGCTTTTCTCTTCTGAGGACACAGGCAGTGGCAGGGCTGTCCTAGTGAGATACAGAGGCCCTGAGCTGGCCTCTACCTGATGATGATGGACGAGTCCCCGTGATGGTCACACAGTGTGGAGGGCACTGGCTTACTTGCCCGAATGACTCACCCCAAGGTCCTCCTCAGTGATACTGCCCAAAGCCCTTAGCTTTATACGTGGAAGCAGGGATTGGGTTTCTTTCCAGTCCACACAGATGATGCCCCAGCCCTGGGCACTTGGGGGCTGGTCTAGCCCCCCTTGGCAAACAGAACTCCAGAACCCAGATGTGTGAGGGTCCCCGTGGGACCTGCCCACAGGCCTCGGCCATGCCCCTCCTGACCCCAATAAGAAGACACACAGGCTGTGGGATGATACAGCAGACTCCATATAAATAAAATTTTCTTATAAAAATAGTCTTTTACAAAATATTCTCTCTTATCCAGTGGCTTACTTTCCAAATGATGAAAACAGGTGGGAGTTTATTATTATTCCTTTCTCTCTGTATATTCCAAACTAGATTTTGTTCTAATGGCAATGTTTGAACTTGGGAGGGCAGAAGATTGGGAAATGTATTCTGCAAAAAAATGTCTCCAAATGTGGACCACTTACATTTCTGGATAAGTAGCAGCAAACAGCAAAAAAATAAGTGTGTGTGTGTGTGTGTGTGTGTGTATCTGTGGGTATAAAGTGTAAAGGATGTCTGCTCGTTGTACTTAAACCTCTAGTGCTGCAGAGGGAAGATACCTGCAAAATCAACTAGTAGACACATCTGCATGAAGAATAACTATCTACAGTTCTACTTGGCTCCAGGTTCTACTGACACAAATCATCCTGCCAGCAAAGCACAAGTCCACTTCGATTGCAGAAAACGGATCCCGAAGAGGTGGAAGGATTCTTTTTAATTAAATAAATTAATATTATTTTTTATCAGAATAAATTGTTAAATATTGCTATGATGAGGCCCGAGGGCCCGGAGTTCCAGCGAAAGGCTTCCTTCCAGCCGTGCAGAGACGTGGGCGGTATCGGGGAGGAGGAGCAGCACTGGACACGGAACTGAACAGGCGAAGGCCCAAGGGCTTCTTCCCACAGGGTCTGCCGGAAACCGGAAGCCAAAAACCGGAAGCCGGAAGCCAGAAACTAGAAGCTGGAAACAGGGCCCTCCTCAGCAGGAAAGACAAGCTCAGTGTTTCTGTGGCTCCCTGTGAAGATCAAGGCAGTGATCCGGAAGGCTAGGGCAGCGTGGAAGCTGTCTGAACCTACCTGCACTGCTCTGCAGCTGGGGCTCGGGCTGCCCGGCTCACTTGCACGTGTACATCTCCGTGCGCTCGCTGCACGTGTTGCACTTGACGTAGCAGCACCAGTGGAACTTGCAGTTGCACTGCCACACGCGGGCATACTGGTGGGTGTTGTAGCCTCGGCCGCAGCACATGAGGTCGCAGCCGCTGGCCTGGGGTGCCGTCTTGTTGCAGGCTCGGCCCTGTGTGCCCACACTACCCGTCACTGGGTCCTCCTCGCAGTAGTTGGGTGACTTCTCGATGTACACCAGGTCTGTGTCCATGGGCTTGCGGTAGGACAGGGGCTTCTTGATCTTCAGGAAGGTGGGCCGTTTGTTGCGGCTAGCGCGCACAGGCTCCACATGGACAGCCTCGTTGTACTTGTCCTTGAGCACGTAGCCCAGCTCCCGGAACTGCGGCAGCGTGGTCCAGCATGTCTTGGTGGTGCATGAGCCCGACACACCGTGGCACTTACACTCCAGCTTCATATTCTCCTCCAGGATCTGCAGGTCAGGCGGGGAGAGCACAGAGACATCACTGCATGCACCCACCTTGTGCAGCCCAGCCGACTCACCCACCCTTCCAGCTGATGTGGTGTTGGTCATTCTTTGTGATGTGGGAGACTCAGACCTGGATTCCAACTGCCCCGTCAAGCTTGACTGTTGGGCCTGCCTCTCAGCACAGCTGGAGCTGGAGCATGAATAGGTTCTCTTCAGCTTGCCTAGGCCTAAGATCAATTTTTTGGGGGTTGGGGTGCTGGGGATTTACCCTAGGGCCTTTGCACTGAGGTATATCTCTTTTTAATTTATTTTTTAAATTTTGAAGTAGAATCCTTCTAAGTTGCCAAATTTTCCAGGCTGTCCTTGAACTTTTGATCTTCCTGCCGCAGCCTCCCAGAGCATGAGGACTGCAGGTGTGAACCACCACACCCAGCTCTAAAATCAATTTTAAACCAATATTTTCAAAACCAAGAGAGTTTAAAAGATAGACTTCCTGGTTTTCTTGGACACTTGACAACACTGGGTGATAATCAAAATATTTCACATCTGGTACAACTGGGCACTGATCTACAGTACGGAGTAGCCCCAAAGCCAGTGTGACTGTGCTTCTGTGTCTAGCTCATTGCATAGCGTGTGCCCTGCCGGCAGACTTCACATGCATGGCTGTGACTGAGCTTCTACTCCTTTGGTACAGATTCCCAGGGACTCATTTCATGCACATAAGAATCAGGCTCAAGAGGTTCACAGGCACCATGCTCCTAATAGCTCTGACCTGGGCACCACCCATATGCTGGTCCAGGGCAGAAGGGAATGGCAGTTCCTGCACTCCAGGGGACACAGTGGGGCAGTGACAATGAATGCAAATCACAGGGACAGCAATCAGCCTGAGTGATATACTGGGGAAGCCACATGTGGAGGCACATGTCTGTAATCCCAGCATTCTTAGAGGCTGAAGTAGGGGAATCACAAGTCCAAGGTCACCCTGGGCAAAATAAAGACCCTGTTTCAAAATAAAAAAGGTAGGGGATATAACTCAATGTAAAGGCCTGGAGTTCACTATTCAGTCCAAAAAGAAAGAGGAAGGAAGGAAGGAAGGGAGGGAGGGAAGAATGGAGGGAGGAAGGGGGAGGAAGAAAGAAAAGGAAAGAAAGAAAGACCGCAAGGAGGGAAAGAAGCTAATCATAAAAAACTTCCATAGAATTGTTTCACTGAATCAAGTTCAAAGGCAGGCAAAATTGGGTTGGATTGTTTAGGAGCCCAACCGGGAGAGACTATGATTAATGAAAAGAAACGAGGATGACAAATATCAGAGGGGAGAGGCTGTGGTTGGCCAGGGTCACCCAGGGGTCTCCTGCTGTGGGAGAATGCGCTGTTCCTTGATGTGGACGATGGGCCCACGGATCGTGCTTTGTACTTTTTCTTTTAAGCAAACGTGGATGCTCTTGTACTTTTTTTGCACATACATGGTAGCTTGCAATGTATAAAGATGTGATAGGTAACAGTGGCCCATAAGCACAAGAAAAGATGTTCAGCATCATTAGTCAACAAGGAGGTGCTGATCTCAATCACAATGAGCTCCTTCACACGCATGAGGATGGTAGAAATAAGACAGACAACAACCAGGGCTCGTGGGGATCCAGAGAGACGAGGACCCGTACGCTACGCCGATGGGAAGGGGACATGGTGCCCTCACCATGCAAAATAGTTTGGCGATTCCTCAAAATGTGAACCAGAGTGTTGGCCCATGACCCAGCAGTTCCACTCCTTGATACACACCCAGGTTAAATGAAAATGTATGTTCGCATAAAACCTGTTTGTGCACATTCACGGCAACATCGTTCATAATAGCTAAAAAGTGGGACAGGGGACCCACAAATATCTACCAGCTGACAAGTGGACAACTAAAATGTGGAATAACTACACAATGAAGGTTTCATAAAACTTACTGTGACTTAACCCTAGTAAGAATGGGTTTTCTCAAAAAGACTAACGTTAACAAGGGCTGTTGAGAGTGAGGAGAGGAGGGGCCCCTTATCCATGGCTGGTGGGCATGTAGATGAGAACAGCTATTATAGAAGTTCCTCAGAATATTAAAATGAGAGCTGCCAGAGGAGCCGGTCTTGCCACTGCTGGGTGCAGATCCAGAGGAGGAAGAAACTGGGGAGTGACGGCTGTACCCCATATTCATGTGGTACTGTTCTCAACAGCCAAGAAACAAGCCATCTTGTGCCCAGTGGTTGGGAAACGGATAAAGACAATGTGGTCCCTCTGTGCTGCAGAATCTGCTCAGCCTGGGAAGGAATGAAATGCTGTCATTTGCAACAATATGGAAGGAAGGAGAGATTTTTATGTGAAGTCAAATAAGCCAGGCACAGAAAGGCTGAGGGAAGCCAGAGCAGCTGGTCTCCTGAAAGCTAAGAGCAGAATAGTGATCAATCACCAAGGTGGGGAGGGCGGGGGAGGAAGGGATGGGAACTATGTTATGATGGGTACTAAGTAACAGGTAGGGAAGCAAGTTCTTTCATAGTAGGGTGATTAAAGATAATGTCCCATGTCTTTGTATAAGCTAGAGAGATTTTAAATGTTTTCACCAAAAAAGTTAAATGGCCACATTGCATGATATTGATTTATACCTCAATGAAGTTTCGTTTAAAAAGGCAATGGGAAGCCTCGGAAGGGTTAAGTGAGAAAGCAGTGTGAATGTGGTGTGACTTGCGAGTTCCCAAATGTTGTTGCTGCCATGAGCCGGGTGCTGACCTCAGTACCGCAGGCTGGGTTGGCACGGCTGCCGCTCCTGCCCCATGCAGTGTCCTTCCCCGTGAGGTCTCTCTCTTCCCCTGCGGCTGCCAATTGCCTGAGGCTGCAGTGATATTGAATGGGCCCTAATCAGGTGACACCCAGCCTAACCCTGCTAACTCTGCATTCTGAGAGCCTCAGTGACCACATTATGTCCACGCTAAGCCGGCGCTAATCACAGCTGCCCCGGCCAGAGCTGGTCACCCAGCAGGCACCCAGCCTTCTCCCTGAGTCCGGGGAGAGCAGTGGAGGAGGCATGAGCGGGATAAAGCAGAAAGATCTGCCTCCCAGCTGCTACCCTCCTACCCTTCTTCCCTGGAAAGCCTAAACCCTGTGCTTCAGTGTCCTGGGATGCCAGGATGCCCTGCACCTTCCCAGGGCCTGGCACCGTGCAGAGTGCATTCAGACTTGGCCCCATCTGGTCCAAGCAGTCACCTGTCAGGAGTTCAGGCTCTGAAAACCCTGCCAGGCCAGCCAGGCATCAAGCCTACATTGCGGGGTGGGGAGAGTGACCTTTGGGGACAACTGAGGGCTGGGAAGGTGCCAACACTTCATGTGGGTGGTTATATCTCTGGGTCCCCATTTAAAGACCGGGTGTATGGGGATGCTGGGCTCTGACATTTCCATCCCGCTACCTTCACATTCTACCAGGCCAGAGCACAGACCAGATGACACAAGGCAGGAGTCTGGGAGGTATGTGGCTGGTGCAAGGTGCTGGAGGGAGGGTGGAGGGCAGGAAGAGGGTCTTGGAGTTATTGTGCCTGCCTGGGCCCCACAAGATGGCTGTGTCCCCTGGCAAAGGTCACAAGTCTCCCCTGGATTCCAGGCCTGAGGAGTGATGCTATCCAGCATCTCCCTGCCAGCTACAGGCACAGCACCAGCCCTTTGGGCTCCAGTAACTTGGAGCAGTTTGATTCCCAAAGCTATTTAATAGCTTCGTTACAACACAATTCGCAGGACATAAGGTTTACCCATTTAAGCATACAACTTAGTAGTTTCTCGAAAACTTTTCCATTAGCCGTCACTCCCTACCTTCCCTCTTTCCTGCCCTGGATAGCCCCTAAGGCTACCAGCCTGCCTTAGATGGTCCTATAAAGAAGACACACAGTACATGACCAGTTTCCCAGGTCCCTCCACACGGCAGCAATAGCCAGATTCCCCTCCTTTGTCCTGGCTGAATAGTGCTCCATGGTGGGAGAGACCGAGCCTCCCCTAACCATCGCCTGGCTGTCACAGTCGCTTATGCTCTCCTTCCTTTCCCAGTGTGCATGCACCAGGACCAAGCCCAGCAGAGCCGCCCCAGCCCCGGGCCATGCTTCTCCCAGCACAGCCAGGCTCAACCACCGGTGCCTGTGGCTCTGCACCTGCCGGGGCCTTATCAGGAGGCCGATCTTTATCACCCTGCACACAGTCCCTGCAGATCTTGCAGCCAGCAGTTCTGCTACTGCCTCTGTACCCTGCAGGGAGCCTCACCCTGTGTGCAGCCATAAAGAGCTCCCCAGAGCCATATCTGCAATATCAAAAGGTTGGAGGAATTTAAAGATCCACCACCAGGGATTGGTTCTGTCAACGCTGGCAGATCTGCCCCTGGAATGGCGTGCAGCCGAGAGCCTCCGGTGGGCTGGGGAGGCTGGGTACCAACTGGAGAACAGATGGGCAAGACATGTTGTTAGGGGAACAGAACCAGGTTCTCAGAGTTCACAGTATTCTTTTGTCTGTGTGAGGAAGAAAAGGTCTATTGTGATCCCAGCATTCTGGGAGGCTGAAGCAAGAGGACTATAAGTTTGGACTCAGCCTGAGTGATTTAGGGACTTAGTGAGCTCTTATCTCAAAGTAAAAGAATTAAAAAAGGTCTGATGATGTGGCACCACGAGAAGGCTCTGGGTCAATCCCTAGCACCAAAAAAGAAAGCAAATGAAATAAAAAAGGCTTGCACATATACACTCCTAAGAGGGGCTTTGGGGATGGCCAGAGGCTGTCTTTGGGGCCTTTATTTGCTCAGTGTTGGGGATGCAACTCAGGGCCTCCTGCTGGATAAGCAAGAGCCCCACCTCTACTAAGCTGTACACCCAGCCCCAGACCTTTTGCTTGTTTTTGCTGTACTGGAGATTGAACCCAGGGGCTCCTGCGTGTTAGGCAAGTACTATACCACTGAACTGCGTCCCCAGCCCTTTTAAAAATTTGGATTTTGAGACGGAGTCTCACTA